ACTTACAGAAAATAATCCTGCTCTTTCTGCTGTGGATTATCGCTAAATTCATGTCTATGTCTTTCACCTGATTTCATGCCAGCATAACCACAAGAAAAGGAGGGAGGCTATGCATTATCCCAGAGACGCAAGCAAAAATAATGAAGAAATGTTTATCACTGGAAGATAAGAAGGATGCTTAAATGAAACACACACATGTACAGTGATGTAAATGGTTCGATATGCTTTCATTCATTTAATTAGTTTTTAATGATGCAAAATAGATAAATAGATAATAAGAAGTATTATGGGACAAGAGATTTATGAAAGTAATTTTTGTTGGTTAATGTGAAAACATGCTTATAAATAAAATATAGTGTATAAAAGAAATCTCAAGCTATTAGCAGGGTTTCTTTGCAGCCTTTGACGATCCTCATAAAGAGTTTGATTCAGTTGATCAAGCTGCACTGTGGGACATCCTTTCCAGGAGACTTTCCAGGATGTCCCCAAAGTTGCTGGACATCATGGCCTGTACACCAGTATGGTGAGTGCTGTGCAGAGTGGAGGCAGACCCTTGGCATTCTTCTCAGTTGATTCTGGCATTTGTCAGGGGTGTGTTCTTGCTCCTGTAGAGTTTCACTTACCTCACCAGTGACATTCTTTTCTCTGGTGACTTTTTCTATTAAGTCAGTAGACAGATTGGGAGAGTATGGAGGGTGATGAGGTCCATGGAAAGGGGAGTATGGCGTTCCCGATATCTTTGTAAGACGACGAAGGTCCAAGTCTTTAGAGTCCTGGTGCTCTCTGTCTTGCTGTATGGTTGCAAGACTTGGTCACTAGCCAGAGACCTGAGACGAAGACTGGACTCCACTGGATCTCTGTTTCTTCAGTGAGTCTGCGGGTACCACTGGTTTGTCTTTGTGTCGAATGAGTGCTTGCTTAGGGAGCCTCGAATGAGGCACATTACCTGCGCGTATTGTGAGAGAGCTTCAGTAACAGCGTCGGAGGGTGATCCAGCTTGCAAGATGCCCATTGCTGAGGACCCAAGCAGCTGGACCAGCTCAAGGGGATGCCCATGTAATACTTGGTAGGCATGTAACACAGATGGTGGGATTAGACTGCATGTCAGCCTGGGGGGGATTGCCAACCAGGATCCTGAGGTGTTTCGTCATATGGTAGATGTGTCAATGCGCTGTACTGTTGCATGCTTCCCAACCTGACCTGACCTGAAGACTAACTAAAAGATCAGGGGTGGGTTTCCTCAAAGCCTCATAATGCTAAGTAGTTCATTATCTAGCACTTAAGATCGATTGTTAATTAACAAATGTCTGCCGAAACCCTTCGTAAAGTAGTTCGTAATCATGCTCGTAGATTTATGAGTGATCCGACCCACTCGTTATTTTCTACGTCGCTCTTTATTTGAACTTTTGTCTGATGTCCTTTCACAGAGACACGGAGATCAGCCAAAAGAGATGACGAAAACACACTGACAATCTTTTTAGGACAACGTAATAATGCTGATGATATGAGGTCAATATTGCAATATAAAACTATAATAAACACTATAAATTAGCACAAAAGGGGCTTGTTGTTGTAGCACCTGTATGCAATTTGAGTAAAATACAAGGTTGTGCATCATTCAGAATTCACTTGAGAATGACCTTGAAAATCAAATTCAATTCATTCAAAATCGGTTGAAAACACAGTGCACAATCACAATTCAAAGCAGAATTAAAATGGAATTGATTTCACATAAATTTGTATACATATATTGTAAGTGCAGCTTTAACAATACAGCTTAATATTTCAATAAGAATTGCACAGCATGTTAACAAACAGTATACAATGAATCCTGCCCCCTCCCACACGCAATCATGAATATTTACAGCAGCCAAAAGTACCCGTCAGCCGTGCCCCCATTTGAGCACCTGCCAGAAAAGTCTGTCCATGTCACTGTTATTCATAATCAATGCCACATTTAAAGTGTCACCTATAGAATAAATAATTTAACTGTCATTTAAGAAAGAGCATAAGAAATTTACAAATGAGAGGAGGCCATTAGACCCATCAAGCTTGTTTGAGGAGAACTCAACTAATAGCTAAAATCTCATCTAACTCTGATTTAAATAAACCCAGGGTTTTAGCTTGTGCTACATGAACAGGAAGACTATTCCGTACTCTAACTACACACTGCGTAAAGAAATGCTTTCTCAAATCCATTTTAAAATGTTCTCCCGCTAATTTCCACTTATGGCTATGAGTTCTACTATTTGAACTAATACTGAAGTGCCATTTGGCTGAACAGCATCCAGACCTGTTAGAATCTTATCGAACCAATAGAACCAATCTTATAGAACCAATGGGGAGCCGATTCAACCACCATCACTGTGTAGCCCCCACCCGACAGCAGCCATTCTGCGGCAGTACACTCACCAGACAGTAGCTAATGTGGTGAAGGGGCAGGAGAGAATTTACCAATTAGATACGGGTATGATTAGGAGGCCAGATCTGATAGGGCCACAGTGGGCAATTTATCCAGGGCATCACCCGTACTCTTTCAAAAGATGCCCAGGGATCTTTTATGACTTCAGAGAGTCAGGACCTTGGTTTTATGTCTCATCTGAAGGATGGCACCCCACCCCCTAAACACCCGGGGGCTTAGCTTGGCGTGGTACGTCTTGTAAAGTGTCGCTGCCCAGAACACGCCACATTATCCATCCTACGTCTTTCCGCCTTTCTCTGCCCACAGCCATCAACAACGCCTAGGTGTAGCCACATAATTAGCCCCCCTGGCCTTCCATACAAATCCCTCCACACAGCCACACGCCCACAGGTCAATTCATTAAAGGTGTCACATTATAGACCAAAGGACACAAAGTGCTGTAGAGGGAACTTTGGGCGTGTGGAAGATGTGATTTGTAGTACCTATACAAGATTTAACCCTAAATGCTTCTGTGCTTTTCTTGTTGTGTACAGTATACTGCACGACATTGCAGTAATTATTTGATTAAAATACATTCTTGGCCACCTCCTCAATTGGTTGTTTCATTCCTATTGCTGCTCACCATTTAGTTTTATTTAAAAGGTAGCAACATCACATTTTGCGCCCATTTTTATATTTTGAACAAATGGGTTAATTTATTTTGGTCGCTTTGGTGCATTTCTATTGATTTTGATTTTCAAAATAGTCCATTTTTATATGTGCATGTCTTCATTGTGTGACAATCAGATATGACATATAATCGGCAGTATCACGCGGAGGCTGGGGAGGAGCCAGCAAAATTCCACTTAAAGTTTGCTCGTTAATTTTGGAATAACGGAGGGTTTTGGGAAACTCGCGGATCTCACTCGTTCTTTACTTACCTCGTTTGTTATTCGCTAAGATCGATCGCTTTCGGGAAACGCGCCCCTGGTTTGGTAAGAAACGCCTTTACCTCTCCGCTATCGCACATGTCCTTCTGCCCCAAACTCTGTTCAGCTTTCAGGGTGATCTTATGACTGTCCTCTGACGATTTCACTCGTGGATTCAGAATCTGTGCGTCCGTGTTCATTTCATTATTATTGTGTTATAGATTAGCGTATGCTGTGTTTATTGGATTATGTTTAGCGGTCATATTATTAACGATTAGAACCGTTATCTTTTATGGTTAGTTCGGTGTTTACATATTTGTACCGCGTCAGCTTAATACTTAATCTCGTACGACGATGACAATATTATTATTATTTTTTTGTCGTTCGGTTCGTTTTTTATCTCTCGTTTAATGTCATTGTTCTTGCATAACAGTTCGACTGCCTCCATAATTATTGCTATATCTGTCGTCATGTAATAGTGCTGTACTGGTTGTTCATGTTCATGTTATTATTGGTTGTTATGTGCCCCAGTCTAGGGTGGCGGGGAGACACATGATCGAACCTGAAGTGAGGGGTGGAGAACAAATTAACACAGTGCACAAATAAGCAGCATAATTAAAGTGTTTATTTACAAGTCCTCACCACAGTGTGTACAGGTTTCAGTAGTGACCCAGGCCACCACAGCAAACAAAACAATCTATCCCAAACTAACTTACAAAAGAAAAACGAAACAAAAAGACAACCACTTTAAAAGAACTTGAAACAAAGAAAAAGGCAGTTACTCTCTACACCAGGGATAGCCAATCTTACCCGCAAAGGCCAGGCCGGTGTGTATGCAGGATTTTGGGATAACCTGTAGGTCAGCTGTTCAAACCCAGGTGTGAGGACTCTTCAGCCAATCAGTCCTCTAAATAGTAATCGAATTAGGGAGTTGCAGCGAAAACCCGCATACACACCGGCCCTTTGCGGATAAGATTGGCTAGCCCTGCTCTACACAATACACACTCAGCACGTCTAACCCAAGGGCTACATAGGCTTTATCCTAGACAGGAATACAGGCTAAAAGGTCGCACAGAGGCGATGCAAATACAGACAAGCGACCACGATCGGGAAGCAAAGCAAAAAGCGATAAACCAGAAAACAGAGCAGAGTCCTGCACCAACGATCACAGCAGAATAAACCCGAGCAGCGGCTAGCATCTCTGCCTGGAGCCCGGTTGTGACGACATCCGAACATGACGGGGGGCGGAGCTTTGGGCGGAGTAAGCGCACCTTTCTTTGGGGGGGGTCTCATCACACGGGGTGCTCTTACAGAACTTCACCCCGATGGGCGCAACATGTATATCCCACACAGAGTACAGTGTATCCCGTAATACAAAAGACTTATAGCATATTAGTATATGATTACTTATTACTGTTTGGTTTTTTATTCAATGTGTAAGTGTTGTTTTCGATATTTCTCCACAAACAATTATAAATAATCTGTATATAGTCAATGAATATACTTGTGAATGAGTGGCATGGATGTATAGGACATCATAACTGCCTACTCTTACCGAACAGTCTGTGGAGATTGTGAGGGATTAAGGCATCATTAGTGCAGTCGCAAGATCTGACCTGGACACCAGCATCTTCAAAACAGCAAACTTTGATGTGTCACTCAGAACAGCTGCGGTCCTCTGCTTACCAGCCCATCTGAGAAGATGAAACTCACCTGCATCGTCCTTCTTCTTCTTGGAGCTCTGGTCTCCCTGAGCTTCTCTAACAGTAAGTCGGTTTTATTTCATACCTGCTCAGTTTAGTTCTCTCTTTCTCTTATCTGCTGACATGCAGACTATAGATTTTGTAGTAGAAAGATACATATTTTAAATAATATTTCAAATTTATTAATAAAAATATGATTGTATTATGGGTATTATGGGGCAGTGTGTGGCTCAGAGGGTCAGGAC